CCCAAAGCTTCCAAGGGCAAAGGCAAGGTGACAACCACCAAGGTCAGTACCAGTTCAAGGTCTGTTGACCAGCCACTGATGTATCTGTCTTGCACAGGATGATGGTAGTGGTAAAGAGTGGGAACCCCTACCAGTTGCAAGTGGGGTAAGCAGGTCCTGACCTGTCCAGGGGGTCTGATGTCTGATGCCAACCCTCAGAGCAATGTACCAGTGGAAAAGGCAGAGCAACTGACAGTGTATCACACAAGGCAAGTGTGAAGTGACTGAAAATCAGACATGCATGTTGACCAGGTGGTGGATGATAGAAACCTGGAGAGACAAAGGTGTGTGAGATGGTAAAATGCAATGGTAGGTTGCTATGATCCCCATGCCTTGGTGTGGGACATGACTTCTGGGAAGCATGTGACTAGAGGAAAGCTGAAGGGAGAATTCCCTAGGATCAACCCAAGGGTGCTGCATGGAAGGAGAAGTCAAGGATTACCCTAGAAGGGGTGGGGTAATACGTGCGAGGGTTACAGAATTTAATTCTGGGGGGTTGTGGACATGCAAGGAACAGTGAGATGGGTATAAGAAATTCTGAGAAGCCAAATTGCAGCAAAAAGAGTATATTTGAGGTGAGGGGGATACAGAATAAGGTGTGCAGGGTTGGAAGATGCAAGAGACATGAGGATCACAGGAGATGCTGTAGACACTGTAGACTCAATAAATGCACTTAGACTCTGAGAACTTCTTGAACTTGTGGAGCACACACAGATAGTGACTCTAAAGGTGGTTTTTTTATTTCTGACATCATGGCAGAATTATATAGTACAAGGGAAGCAGGTATGGGTTGGAGTAAAGTGGGGCAGAAAAACTAAAAGACCAGAAAATAAAGGAGAGGATGACAGACATCAAGGAAATACAGGTGCATGTGAAATGGGCCAGTGAGTAGTAGACAAGAGTAAAATGGGACAATGGTAAGGGGTATCTTCCAACAGAATGAGGTTACATGTACAAGTGAAAGGTGGAGTCAGTGGGAGGGGGAAGCACAAGAGGGCAGAGTGTACTGGCATGAAGTCTGGCTTGCAGAATTTGGGGTGACAGAGGTAACCAGAGTTTTTTTGTAAAAGTGACTGACATGGGTGAGTGGTGACATGGCTGGGGGTGGTTTGGCTACTGAATTCCAGATGACTCTGGGTGAATGCAGAATTTCCAGATCAGCTCATTGATGGCTGGGCAACATGCTGAAGGTTGGGAGAAACTCTGAAGGTGACAGGGGTTGGGAGGCAACACAAGGTTACAAGCAGGAAGAACCCTGAAAGTGTCCAAAGGCCAGCAGAAGTTAGTGACCAACTCCTGTTCCAGCCTCAGGGAGTATACAGCTCCCTACATCAGTCATCCCATCAACCACCTGCTAAACCCTCTGGAATCTCCCCAATTCTGCCCAAATTCTCTCTGTGCTTGCTCTCCCAATGTGGCTTGGTGATGGATCCCATATGCAGCTGGTGCCACCACATCTGCAAACCTACAAGCTGATCCTTTGATTTCCAGGTTTCTGATGGGTTCTTGAGCAGGCCCTGCATCACCTGCAGGGCTTGACCCAAAATAGCTGACTGACCACTTGTGCTGGGTTCTGTAGACTGGTCTGTGAAATGCCATGTTAGGTGACTCATCTACTGGCAAATGTCTTGTGTGTTCTTACCATGTATGTCATCCCTTGGCTCAAGTTCAACATCACTGAGGTCTCAGTTAGGTGACTGGTTGCTTATTCCAGACTGGATCCTGGCTAGATTGGATTTAATTTCTGACAATCATCTGACATGGGTATTACCAACCATGACTGGTGCTCTGCCCTTGCTCTTTCTCCCTCTCCTTCCCTTTTCCTTCATCTGTCCTCTCCAATGGGCCTCCTGTGGTGGATCGAAGCACCTACTGCAACATTCCCTTCAATGCAGGCATCAGCTTGTCCATTACCTTGGTGGCAATCTCATCTGTGGATGGCAGTTTGGCCACCACTGCATCTACCATGGCCTTTTGGATTGCCTCCATTGGCATGGAATAGGCAACCAGTCACTTGTTTTCCCTTGGCTCTGGTGCAGGTGGGGGTGGGGATGGCACATGTGTCCATGCAGTCTTGTATGATGCTGACTGGCCACTGACTGGCACCTGGCAGTGCCTTTTCCATTCCATGCTGGCATTGAGGTATGCAGGTAGCATATCCTCTGCAGCTCCAGCCAGAGCTTCTACACTGATGCCATACACTTAGTTTTCAGTAGACTGACTATGGCCTGCCTGCAGGGCTTCCACATTGTCATCCCTGTCCATCTCTATCACATCCTCCACTGCACAGCCAAGTTTTTGTTTCCATGCTGTTTGGATGTGTTGCCACAAGTTGATGGTCAGCCCAAAGTGCATGATGGCAAGGCTGTGCTTGCTCATGATGGTTGACAGGTATTTGGAGTCAAAGAGGCAATTGTAGTTGACAAAAATGTGGTTGCAATACAGCTCCACCACCTCTGGCTTGTCTGGGAAACATGCCTTGGCTGCAATCTCTGCAAATGGCCATGCCAAGGCCAGGTCCTGCACCAAGATGTTGCTGGTGATGCCATCCAGGGCATGAGGGATCAGCTTGTCTTTCCCTGTCAATGCCATTGTCTTGAGGTATTGACAAAGGAGGGAGACATGGTTTCCCAGTACTACCAGGTTCCAAGTCAGCCAGGTCTGGGTGTTTTTTTTTCATTGCTTTAAGTGCTTGAGGGTCTAGTGACCCTATGTTGTGCTATACAGGCACAGTATTAGCTTATCTAGTATGGCCCCCTGTCATCCAGTGATTCAGAACTAGCTGCTGAACAGCTACTCCTTCCTTCTAATGCCTTAATCATAAACTCTGCTATCACCCTTTCCACTCAAATACCCATACAGAATACCCCTGCCTACAGAATGGTACTTCAGACCCACAAGCAGCCTTCAAAGCTCATCTGCAAACAAACTCCCCTCCCATTGATGGTCCCCTATTTGCTTACAAAGAGAGCCACAAACACAAACCACTCACATGCTCCACATTCCTGCAATGGTTGAAGTCAGCAGCCAAAGCAGTGGGCTGTGAAGCAATGCATGGGCACAGCATCAGAATTGGGGCTACACTGGAATACCTACTCAGAGGTGTCCCCTTCAACATGATGAAAGTCAAAGGAAGATGGGCAAGTGATGTGTCTCAACTCTACCTATGCAAGCACAATCAGATCCTAGCCCCATACATACAAGCCATGCCCCCCAGCACCACATCAGAATTCACATGGCCAGTGATGCCCCCTGTCCAACCATGAACCAAGCATGCCCACATGAGTCTACCCTCCTACCAGCTGGGCATTCAACTGTCAGATTGGCATGTCAGGCAACCAACAGCCAATCGGATCTGCAGCTGATGCTCTTCTGCCAACTTCATAGTCCCATGGCTGGAAAGTGCTGCACACTTTTGCCCATTCAGTGTAGACTCAATACCCACTCATGCATGTAGCTACTGCATCCCACACAATGCATTAGATCACTTACCACCCTCACCCCTTGAGCATGAACAAACTGCAAAGATTGAGATTCTATCATGTAAGGAGGCACAACATAGTGATAGAATAATGTCTTTGTGGGAATGGCCAAAGCGAGGCATTGTCTCTTGCTCTTGATGCCAATGGCCATCCCAGTCACTTGTCAGGATTTGCAGCTCCTTACACTCCTTTTTCACCCTCACTCCACTCCCTTGTTGGTCACCTTTGAGTTAGCAAACCACAGGATGACCTCCTCATCTTCTGCACTGACATGCTCACCCTCATCTGCCATGGACTGCAGGAGCCTCCAACAAGCATCATGTGCTCAGCCAGACTCCCACCCACCCCCACAGCTGATGCTCTTCCACCAGCTTCATAGTCCCACAGCCAGAAAGTGCTGTGCACTTTCACCCATTCAGCATAGACTCAATACCCACTCATGCATGTGGCTACTACATCCCACACAATACATTAGATCACTTACCACCCTCACCCCTTGAGTGCAAATGAACTGCAAAGATGAAAGTACTGGATACTTGAAATGATACAGTGATCTCTTGGCAATGCTGTTGAGCAGAACATGTTGAAGGCTTCTTCCCATGTCTTGCTGGGATCTTTCAGATCAATTTGGAGGTTTCTCCATGGCTGTAGTAGCATGAGCATGGATGCATAATAGAATGACTGCTGATCTTTGTCATCGCATGATGGGAAATATTGTCCAATGAAGTTAGGGAGGGTATTGTGATGTGGGCTCTGCATGATACAATATTTGCTCTTGTATTTTGGATGAGATTTGAGATATTAGACACATTTATGAAGTGGCTTTCCCTGATGCCATTTTGGACCTCATATTAAATCAGTTTGATCATCTGTCACTGATGCAGCAACTTTCTCCCATTGGTGTGAACCCTTATCAATGTTGGCCTCATATGTGTTGACAAAAAAGTCCATGATATTTGACATCAACAGTGCTTCTCCATGGAGGGTGTAGTCAACAACTTCAACTTGTGACTTCACAAACAACCTCCCATTGCCATTTACATCCAGGGTCAACGTTTCACTGCCTGTCTGCTTTCACCTTCAGTCAAACTTTATGATGCCTTGACACTTTTACTCACCTCATCCCTGTTGTCAACCATGCCAGTAGCTTGTTTCTCTGATGCTTCTGCATCTTCCCTTGCTTCAATCTCATTGCTAATCATGTTCCACAAACTGTAAGGTGGTTGTAATTCTCTTATCAAAACAATCTTCTCACCTTGATCCAGCACAATGCTCCTCAAAACTATTTGAGAATTGACATTGACAAAGCTCCAGAAATGCTTCCAACATCACAGTCACAAATGATTTCCAGTAAATAGGTGCATAACAATGTGAACAGTATGAGTCCTTCCACCCCATGGGATAAGAGACCACCATTGGGGCTGACAGTTCTTGCTTGGAATTTATTGCATGCACCAGATGAAATAGTAGCTTTTGTTGTTGATCATGGATTCCATCAGTATATGATATATGTGGTCTGTTTGGAATGGTAAGAGAAGCCTTTTGTCATGATTGCTGACAGATTGTAGCTTTGCCCTTGTTGCTTGGTTGAATAAGCTGTGATGTAGAAGGAGATATTGGTCATCTCCTTTGAATTGGTAAGTAGTTTTATGTCATTATTACAATGAGCATTGACAGTGATTCTGGGTACCCAGGAATTCATAAATTCATATAGCCATTTCATCCCCCAATGCCCATCCTCATTGACAAAGTCATTGTCAGCTGTGTTGAATGGTGCACACTGTTTGCAGACCCATTGTACTGTTTTGTCCATGACAAGACACTGGCACACCTTGCAAGTATGGGGCTGTTGATTACAGGCTACCTTCTGTTCAAGGTCCATGATCTCTGAGTCATAGTTGGATGATTGGGGATTAGGAGGGTGTGAATATGCAACTTCTGCATCATTTGGGATTTCTTTCAGCTCCTCCACTGACTCGAAACCTGGCATATATGCATGTATGTTTGCTTGATGAAGTGTTGTATCTGTTGATGGAAAACTTCATCATTCAGTAACTCCTCCATCTGGCCACTGACAAGTGTATTCCTGAGCCACACCAATAGGTGTAGGTGGAGACTACCCCTTCCCTGGGACTCAACAAGTCCAAAATAGCCTGTGACCTCTCCAAATACCCCCATGTGGCTATGGACACATTGCATTGTGGCTTTGATTCCAAATAGTTTGCTAAGTACTGTTTGAATGAGAAAATGGAAGAACCCCAAGGCAGCATATGGATCAAGTGCCATATTTTCTGCATGTTTCTCCTTTGATGGCCCTAATTTCTCCCATAGATTGTCAAGGTTGATATCCTCACCAGCAAAGACCTGTGTGATGGGATCATGTAGGTTGCAAGGGTTGATGGTGATCCATAGTGGTGGTGGGTTCAGCATAATTGATGTTGACCAAATCTGACTACAGAGTTGAAAGTGAGAGTAGTCTCATCCAACAACATGTGTGCCAGTGGCATACACATGTTTTCACAGTAGCTGGATCAATGGATTGGAGACAGGGATGTTCTTCTCTTCAGCTTCCTGCACTTTCTGTAACCTCTCAAGCATGAGAGTTGACAGCAACCATGCATCCTTATCAAACATCTTGTGGCTCATTTGTAGACAGGCAGATGATAACACTTGGCAACATTGTGTTATTGCAAATGCAACAAAGGAGAATGTTGGATGCCTCTGAAAACAACAATCATGGTAATGTAGTGCCCACTGGATGTGTTCATTGAAATCCACAGTAATTTAGTCTCCCTCTATGCCACCTTCTCCATAGGGAAAAAGCCCAGGAAATGCTCTTGCAAAGAAATTGATATGTTTCACTGTGTATGGCTTGTCTGCAGCATGTGGTCAGCCAAAATCATTAACAGGTTGATGCCCATGCCAAACAGAATAACCTCCTTCTCTACCCTCTTTCCACAGGTTCAAAAGTCCCCATGTCATCAGCTCACTTGCTGTGAGCTTTGACATGTCTGTATCAACACCACCAGTGACTTGTAATGGTATAACATCTGGTCCTGCTTGACATTGTGAGGTTTTTTTTCTCATCACTGTATGACCATCCATGTACTGACCACCATTGTCAGATTCATTAACAACCACATTGTCTGTAGTATTTGATGGCACTCCTGTCATGGAATTATGAAGTTCTGACATAGGGCAAGCTTTGGTACTACTGACCTTCATCATTGTCCTGTGGCACTGTCAAGTCTGGGCCTACTCTGACCAACTCCAATGCTAGACAAGGTCTGGGGAGAGGTTTGGAAGCAAGTATGACAGAAAAGAGCTGAACTCTGACTGGTGGAGTGTCAGCAGGAACAAAGTCTGCCAAGACAAAGGTGGAGTGGAGTGAGGGCATTTGGTGTAGCTCATGCACTACCCCCTTGCATGTCTTAGCCCTTGTATTTCAGAGGGAGAGTATAGATGGAAAGTCAGCAGTAACTCTGACAGGCAGAAGATGGAGACAGAGGGAGTAGGAACTAAGTTGATATTTGTACTGAAGAACATCAGAGTACAATACATGCTTTTATACTACTATGGAGGTACAGTAACTGGAATCAGAACTGACATACAGAGACTCATAAATTTTCAAGTGAAACTTCCTAGATGATGAATGAAGGGTAGACAGAGGACATACAAACACATAACATAGAACATCCCAAAAAGGAAACAGTCCAGGTGCTGGACCATGTGGCATGCATGCTGCAGAGTACCTGACTGTGTGCTGTCAGGGAGAAGTCTGAAGGGTAGTCACATGACTCCTCAGAGAACAGTCTGTGCAGTCTGGTAGGAGCACAGTACAAGTCTGACAGCAGTCAGAGTGGAGATGGTTTGTAAATGACAGGAGGTGGGCAGAGTTGGTGCAGAGTGAGTGAATGACCAGTGGAAGAGGGTGCAGAGTAAGTGAAGACTTAGAATGAACACATGGTCATGACAGGCACATAACCTGCACTTTCTTGTTCAATCATGCCAATGTCACCAGACTGGCATATTATATCTATTACTTCTTCCAGTACATTGTCTTCTGGAAGCTCCACAAGGTGAGAAGCACTGATCCCGATATCTGCATAG